CAGATGCCAGGTGCCAGCGATTCTGACCCCAGTGGGTCTGCGCAGGACCCTCTGAGAGAAGCCAGCGAAGGAGCTTTGTGGCTTTCAGGAGCTTGTGCTGCGAGAAAACAGCGAGCAAATGGGCCTCTCTCGGCCCCCTTCACCTTGACCTTGGGCCACCTGCCGGCCTCGGGCCATCTGAGACCTGGACTGCCACAGGGGTCTGATTGCCAGGTGGCACCTGGAGGGCTGTGCGGGACTTCGCCCTGGGTGTCACCCCTGCAGCCTGACTGCGTCCAGCTGACCACAGGCACGACCACAGCTGCCCAGGCCTCAGGCCTGTCCGCTGCTGCAGCGGCCGGGCCCACAGCTGCCCCGTGGGAGCCGCCTGGCCCTGCGGGGAGGAGCCGGCCACTACAGCCCGGGCTTCCTTGCACCCACTGAGGGGGAGTGAAAGAGCCAGGCGCGTGCATCTGCAGGTTGTAGGACCCTGTCTCTGAAAACTCAGAAGAGGCCCAGGCCCAGTGGCTGGGGAGGGGCATAGGGGCAGCTGCGTGACGGGTTCTGGTCCAGAGCGTCCCAGAGTCCTGGAGCAGGTCCCCTGGTCCACACACAGTCCCGGTTGTTGGGACTCACTCCCTCTGCTGCCTGGGCCCCCATCTTGGGGTGTCTCTGCTGAATTGGGGTACAAGGAGCCTGTGTTAGCATCCTGTCCTGTACGTTAATCCTGTCCTCACCTTGGCCTGTGTGAGCCCAGAGTGAGCGCCCTACTTTATAGGCAGGAAGCTGCGTCTCAGGGAGATGGGGCTTGCTCCAAGCCACGCGGCCTGTGGCCCGTGATGCTGAGCCTTGAGTCAGCTGGTGTCAAGGCCTCTGTCTTCTCACTGCCTCCCACTGTCTGCACCCCCAAGGGCTGTCACAGGCCTGACGTGGGACACTGTGACACAAATGAAGGGACTAGCTGGTAGCACGGAGGACTTGGCGGCTTCCCCCAGGGAGTGGCCCTGGAGCTGTGAGACCTGAAGGGCGAGCAGGACTGTCTGGTCCTGCCTCCGTGAGGAGGCACTGTGGTCTGCATAGTGCAGCCGAGGCACCTTGCGTGGGTTGGGGGCGGGGGTGCACGCCCCGCTGTAGAGCTGGGCTGCAGCTGAAGAGCTCTCTCCAACTAGGAAAGTCTTTCTTTGGAAGTAGTGACTGCCCCTCCTCTACAGCTGGGTAATGGCCCACGGAGCAGAGCCGGCTGGGATGGGCACACTGTGCGTTAGAGGCGCGGTGATGCGCTGCTCCAGGCGGCCCCTCCTGTCTCTGCCAGCTACTGCCGCGTAACAAACCACCCAGCGCTCGGGGGTTCAGACCGCACGCCTCTATTCCAGCGCCTGCGTCTGTGGGTCAGGAAGGTGTCTCAGCTGGGCTCGCTGGGCTCTGTCCCACTTGGGGGACTGGCTGGCTGCAGATTGGCCTGGGGTACGTCAGCTGTGGTGGCGGCTTCTGCCTGCACCACGTGGTCTCCCATCGCCCAGCGGCCAGCCAGTCGGGGGTCGTTTCCGTGACAGAGCAGGGGCCCCGCAGAGAGCAGAAGCTCAGGGCTCCAGCTTTCTGCACAACCCATCAGCTAAAGCTGGTCCCGGGCCAGGGTCAAAGGTGAGCAAGCAAACAGTGCCACCTCTGGATGGGGGGGCTGCACCGTCACCTTGCTCGGGGCTTGGACAGAGGGAGCCACCGATTGGGGCCACCCTTCCCTGCGCCTCAAGACCCGAGCCCTGTGTTCCCGTCCCCAGGAGGTCCCCTAGGGCCCCAGCCCACCCCCGTGCCGCCCTGAAGGGGTCACTTCCTCGGCTGCATCAACCTGGACTCACAGGTCCCTCAGAGGGCCGCTCCCTCGTCTCCTTCCCAGCGTCCTGCCTGGCTTGCTTTATGTCAGCACCTGCCTCTTGAGCTCTGGCTCTCGGAGTGGTGGGCAGCCGGACCTGCGCTCCGTCATAGTAGGCGCGTCACTCCCGCCTCTGCCTCCGTTGTCGCATGGCTGTCTCCCTGTGTGTCTGTGTCCCTGTGTTTTCAGTGGCCTTCCTCTCAGGGAACCAGTCACTGGTGAGGGACCCACTGTTGTCTAGTCTGAGTGCATCGTAGCTCGATCACCTGCAAAGATCCTATTTCCAAGAAGGGCCGAGTCACAGGTACGGGGGGCAGGGACTCCAACATACAATCTGGGGAGCACAACCCAACCCACAACACCTGTGGTCGGGCCGTTGCCTCGTAGGTGTTTTGTGGGACGGTCGGGGCGGGGCCTGGTGGCCAGGACCCTGAAAGCTACACAGTGAGGTGGGGTCTCAGAGCCATTCCACACGCCTCTGAGCTGGCGCTGTGAGTCCCGCGGAGGGAGGATGAGAGGAGCCTCCGCCTTCCGTTCGGTCGAGACTGGCGATTCCTTTGGGTGGTGGTTCTTCCTCCTGAACCCCCGGCCTCCACCGCCTCGCTGGGGCTTCAACCCCGGGCAGATGCGATGCTGCCCGTGGCGCAGAAGACAAAACCGAGTGTCGGAGGAGGCGTGTGGCCAGCCCACGGCCACACAGCCAGGGCGCTGGGCCCCAGAGCCAAGCCAGGACGTCTGGCTGATCGACGAAGAGCTCAGGGGGATGTCGCGGGGGCCAGGGCGGGGGTGTTCCTCTCAGCAGCTGCAGACAGATGTTATGGTCCTGCCTCCTTCAGGGCGGGAGGTGGGGGCGGAGGAGGCAGGGAGTGCGAGCAGACGGCCACTGTGAACTGCCCGCAGATGTTAGGGTCTGTTTCTGTGGCAACCTCCCGCACGCCCGCCCACACTGGCTCGGGGCACCCGGGTTACACTGCCACTTTAATTTAATAGCATTGTTATCATACACCATAAAAGTAATATAAATTATGCATATGTGCAATCTCTTCAAACCGTATATGTTAAATGCGTGCATTTTTGCATATCCATTTATACCTCAGGAGAGCTATTAAAATAGACACTCATTACAGAAAAATCTGGAAAACAGGGAAATGTAGAAAGAGAAGAAAAAATCGTTTATGTCAATGACCTTTCAACAACCTTTGCTAACAGGATGGAAAATTCCCTTCCAGCTTTTCTCTCAGCTGGTTTGGTTGCTGTTCACCACGGCTGCAATCACTGGTCTTGTAGTGAAAAGCATTTTATATACAATTTTACATCCTGCTCTTTCCCCCTCAGGGGGCCCTGATGAAAATAGCAAGAACCAGAGCCGCGTCCGGGCCCCCAGCACTGCTGGCTGCGGCTCCGGCCATGGCAGCCAGAGCCCCGGGCTGGGCAGAGGGCAGTGTCAGGCATCTCAGGGTCAGGGAGCGCTTCCCAGAGAGCCGCCTTCCTGGCCCGGTCTGGTCTTTTTAAGTTTAATGAAATGCACATTTCTCCTGATGGATGAACATGTCTAGCCTGTCATCGGGCTTGGAAACACCTTCTTTCTCCCTTCTCTTTGCTGGCAAAGCTGGCATTGACCTGTGGTTCCGAAGGCCGGTGCTGGTCCAGGGCGGCCTCTGCCAGGCACTGAGTGGAAAAGGAAAGCGTACGTACTGAATAAAAGTGGGAGGAGCACTTGACGCTGAGAAAACAGCTCTGGAGACAAGAGGTTGCTGGTACTTTTGAGAAGAGCAAGGAGTCTGGAGCAGGAACAGACAGATCAGGGGTGGGGGACAGAGGCTGGCGGGGGTGGTGCGGCTGGAGAGATGGTGTCTGTTCCCTTGAACTGAATTAGAAACACAGAACTCTGTGGCTTTCAACACGAAATATTTGTAACCGCGCGTCTGCTGATTCGGCACATCCAGGCTTGTGTGGGCCCCTGGGGCCTGCCTGGGGCTGGCTTGGCTGAGCAGGTCTGGGGGGCTCTGTCCCTGTCCAGCTCTCTGGCCTCCTCCCTCCCTTCCCTGAGACCCATGGGCAGCTTGGGTAGGTCCTTCCCTTGGCAGCAGCTTGTCTGCTGGAGTCCTGCAGGCCCAGGGAATCCCGGGGCCAGTCTGGAGCCCAGGCAGGGCGGGCAGCTGTGCTAGGATCCACGTTTGGGTGCCAGAGAGGGCAGAAGCTTTGGGGTCCTGATGGGGTCTGCCTCCGGGGACACGGGTCACTAACAGCTTCGCCACTCTGAGGCCTTTGCTTTACTCTGAGATAAGATGGGGAGCCACTGGCGGCTTTTGAGGGGGGCCCCTCTCGCCTCCGCCCTGCTGAGGCCTGCTGTGGCCGGGGCAGGGAGGAAGTGAGGACACCGTAGGAGGCTGCATGGTCACCTGCCCCAGGAGAGGCAGAGAAGGGGCTGGATGTGTGCATCGCGAAGACTGAACCGGGAGAGGGAGGGGCAGGGAGGGAGTCAGGGGGACCCTCGGGCCCCCTGGCAGGGTGGATCCCCTGAGGGTGGGGGTTGCCACAGAGGACGGAGGCTGGGAGGGTCAGGATCTGGTCTGGGGACCATGGAGGGTTTTGACCGGAGACCCCCACTGTCACCCCGGCAGCTGTAAGAAGGAAGTAGGGGGTAGGGTCAGCACAGCGGCCACCTGGGTTCTCGGGGAGGCCGGTCAGATCTGCACTTTGTTGGAAAGTCGATTCAGTTTGTTAGAGTCAGATTAGAGGTTCTTGTGCCTACAGAGTCCCCACCAGGGACCAGAAGATCACAGGGGTCCCATCTGAGTGGAGTGCAGTTGAGGGACAGGGGCAAGGAAGGGGCATAGTTGGTCTCAGTGGCCCCCAGAGTTGGGCTAGTGTCTGATTTGCACCCCAATCACCCGGTCGGCACAGGCAGAAACCCGTCAGCTGCTTCTGGAGGGCAGCAGGGGGCAGAGTGAAGGTCGCCCCAGAGCAGGTCTCTGGTCTGCAGCCAGCAGGGCGGGGCCAGGGCAGCTGGTCCCTGCTCAGGGCCCCCACCGCTCAGGGTCCTGCTTCCCGGGGCGGCCTGGCTCAGGGGTACGGGGCCTCTGGGGGTGCTGAACTGCACAGCGCTCAGGTGCTAACAAGCCACGCCTTCCTGTTTCTCCTCCTCTAGCCGATATCATCTCTACTGTCGAGTTCAACCACACGGGAGAGCTGCTGGCCACAGGCGACAAGGGTGGCCGGGTCGTCATCTTCCAGCGGGAGCCGGAGGTGCGGGGGGGGGGGCCCTGGTGGGTGGGGGGCGGTATCCTGCAGGGTGGGTCCCTGGGGAAGCTCCCGCCTTCCCAGCAGGATCCTGGGGCTGGACAGCAGGGTGTGCTGGGGTTTGGGGCGGGGAGCCCTCCCGGCAGCTGCTCAGCAGATGTTTGTCACCTGCTCGCTGTGTCCTGGACCCCAGGGAAGCAGGACAGCAGAGCCAGCTGCTGTCCTGGGACAAGCCTCCAACTAAACCGCCCTGTGCCTGGGTGAACTGGCACTGTCCCGGCCATGGCCACACAGGGAGGACTCATGGGCTGGCCCTCGGCTGGACGGGGTTTTGCTCAGCTCTGGGTCCCTGCCCAGCGACCGTCATGGTCCATTAGAATCCGGGTAAGACCAGCGCAGCCCGGAGCAGCCCACCCGGGGTGTTGGTTTTGAGCCACTGAAAGAACCTCGTGGTAAAAAAGCTCCCACTTGTTGAGCACCTACTATGTGCAGATACCTTGCTACCTTCTCTATGCAATTTTCATTTACTTTCATTATCCACCTCAAAGGGTGGGGACTGACCCCCGTTTCAAAGATGCGGACACTTGGAGTAGTCACACCAGTGAGTGTGCAAACCCCAGGGATTGAAACCAGGACTGAGAGGGGGCGGCTTGGGCATCACGCACGTTCTGGGGTCATAGGAGCTGGCGGGGGGAGAGAAGGAGGGGGAGAGAGAGGGGCATCACATTTGGTCCCCAAGTGTCACCCCCTCGAGGTCTGACTTGACCTGTGTTTGCCTCCAGCGCCCCCCTCACAATGGCCCCAGGGGTCCTGCAGTCATTCTCACTTCACAGACGGGGACTGGAGCGCAGGGGCCCTGGGGCAGCTCAGCGGGACACAGTATTGTCCACATGCAGTGTCCACATGCGGGGCCGTGGCCAGAGCGTGTCAATTTCATGGGAGCGGATAGCGCACCGCACCGGGGATTGCAAGGCCAAGCCTGCTTTTTGCCAAACCACAGAAAGAAATTTAACCAGTGAGGCCAGATTCATGGTTTTGAATTTTTCTCCTTTAATTTTTTTCTCAATACCGGCCCTGCTGACCTCGGTCATAGCCGGTACTCCAGGGAGATGTAATGAATTAGAGGCAAAAATAATGAACTTTAAAGCTTCTGGAAGCAAGACAGGTAAAGAAATGGAACAATAGGTACTTCTGAAAAAATGAACAGAAAACCTGAAATCGCGCCTGGTTGAGGGTCTTGGATTTGCTCCCGGGCAGTTCTGTTCCGGTTGTATTTCCACGTCGTCACATAAACTTGAATTGTCTGCTGGGAACATGGCCCCTGGTGCCCGGATGGACTCCCCACCTCACTGTTCGGGGGCTCCACCGGGAGGGGGCTGCCTACACTGGGGTGGGACCCGCCCACGAGGAAAGTCGGGGAACAGTATTCCAGCCTGGGTCTGAGGTGACAGGATGTTCTGCCCCAGTGAAAGTCTGCTTCAGAACGCAGTCATGCCTCCGTCAGGCCCTGGCCGGACGCCTGGACGTGAGGAGCAGGTCAGACCCCAGGGAATGAGCTGCACTCAGTGGACACGTGGCCTTGGCAGGTCCGGTCGCCCCCGAGCCTCCACTCGCTGCTGCACCTGTAAAATGGGGAGAGTCATGGTGCCTGACACAGAGGGGCCTTGAGGGTAGCAGGACATGAGGTGTAAGACGCACGTAGCTCGGTGTCCGACACATAGTAGGTGCTCAGTAAACATGAGCTGGCTTTGTTACTGTTGTCCTAACTTATTGGGCCAAGGTGGAGCAGGGGCTTGGCCACAGCGCACAGCGAGGCGATTTAAAGAGCATGGCTTCTCCTGGCCCCTGGGTGGGTCCAGGGGCCCTGCTGGACACCCGGTCGCCATGGCTGTCGGGCCCTCTGTGGTTTGTCCCACCCGGGCCCTGGCCCCGGCCCAGGTCCCCGTCCGCCTGCCCTGCGGGCCTGGAGCTCAGGCCCCGTCTGGGTCTCCTTGCAGAGCAAGAATGCACCCCACAGCCAGGGCGAGTATGACGTCTACAGCACCTTCCAGAGCCACGAGCCCGAGTTCGACTATCTCAAGAGCCTGGAGATAGAGGAGAAAATCAACAAGATCAAATGGCTCCCCCAGCAGAACGCCGCCCACTCCCTGCTGTCCACCAACGGTGAGGCGGGGTGCGGCGTGGCACGCCTGCGAGCACGCGAGGGCCTGTGCGCCTGAGCGTGTGGCTGCCTGAGCATGTGTGTCTGTGTGTCTGAGTGTGAGTGCCTGAGTGTGTGGATGTGCCTGAGCATGTGGGTGCATGCCTGAGTGTGGGTACCTGAGCATGTGCGTGTGTGTCTGTGCACCCGAGCGTGTGGGTGTGCCTCTGTGCCCAGGCATGAGTGCACGCAGCTGTGGGTGTGTGATGCAGCGATCTATCATCAAATGCTGTTTCTCACCTCGCTTTCATGATGAGCGTTTTTCTCGGTCTGTGGAGCTCCTAACAAACCGCATTTGAGAAGCGCGTGAGTTCCAGGCAGTGAGCGTGTCCCAGCATCCTCAGCCCCTTCCCTGTGGGACACGGGGCTGGTCCCATGGTTTACGTGGCAGCACCGTGACATCGTTGGGGATACTTTCCTCCGGTGTGGAGGGTTGACACTTACGATGCAGGAGGCCAGGACACATGGGGACATGTGAGGCAAACTTAACTCTTCCTCTGCACCCCAGAACCCCAGTCTGCCCAGAGTGGGGTCATCCCTAGGTGGTGCGACCACCCACGGGTTCGGGAGCCTGGCTGGCCCTTTGCCATTCAGGACCCTGAGGAGGCTCCTGGCTGGACTCCTGCTTCGCTGCAATCCATTCCAAGGGTGTGGCCCCTGGGGCGGTTCTGCCTCGGCCCGCACTGGGCCTGGGGCCATAGGCTCCGCTTGCCACATGCTCCGCCTTCTGCTCATCCCCCCTCTTCTCAACCCCATCATCAGAGCCACTTGGGGGCACAGGCCTGTGCTCTGTCCCATCCCTGTGACCCTGGGGAGGCGCCCTGAACCTCAGTTTCCTCATCTGTGCAGGGGGGTGGACAAAGCTCCCTCTGGAGTGTGGTCACAGTGAAGTCAATCTTTCTGGAAGTCAGTGGAGAAACTGACAAGTGCCCTTGAATGAGTCATGCCCTTTGACCCGGCGATGTCACCTTTAGGATCCATTGTGAGGAGCTAGAGAAGGAAGCCAGGGGTCCCGTATGCGCAGGTGTTCACCGCATCTGTTTACATAGGAGAAAGCGGGCACCCGCATGTGACGGCTGCGGAGTTTCTGCGTGGCGGGTCCGTGGGGTGGACCAGGGCGGAGGCTCCCTTCTCCACGTAATCCTGCGTTTGTCTCACTGTTTTTAAAGACAAAACCATCAAATTGTGGAAGATTACGGAGCGAGACAAAAGGCCCGAGGGCTATAACCTGAAAGACGAAGAAGGGAAGCTGAAGGACCTGTCCACAGTGACCTCCCTGCAGGTAGGCCGTGGGCCTTGGACGGGCCCGCGAGCGGGAAGCGCACCTGTGGCTCTTTGATTAAAACTGGGATTTGAGGGTTCCAGGGCCCTTGAGATTTGAGCCCAAGTGGGGTTCAGGTCCTGCCTGCTGTCACCCCCGCTCTGTGCCTCAGTTTCCCCAGCAGCCAAGGGGAGGTGGCCATCTCCTCCTGGAGAGCTGGCGGGGACGGGGCTGCACGTGCAGCTTTGCAGCCATACCTGAGGGTACAGAGCAACCCGGTCACCCTTGTCACACAGAGAGGGAAGCCGAGGCCCAGAGGGAGGCGGGAAGTCACTGGAAGCCGCCTCGCCTCGCTGAGTGAGCATCGGAAGTTGTGGGCAGAGCTGAGTGGCCTCCAGCCCTTTGCTGAGGCGGACAGGAAGGGTTGTCTTTGATTTACCAGAAGCCCGGAGAGCGGGCTGACGCACACTGCAGTCCTCACTGTGATTAAAAGGCGAGAGGACCCTTCTGTCTCCCAGCAGTGAGACATGGAAGAAAGAGGTCTGGAGTCGCAGGCCCTGGGTTCAAATCCCACGCCTGCTACTTCCTGGCAGAGTGACCCTGGGCAGGGCTGTCAGCCTCCGCCAGCCTCCGATTCTTCATCGAGAATAAGACCGAACCTGTGGCCAGCATGTGCCTTGTACACACTCTGGCTGGAATAGCTCACTGAACCCTCCCCACAATCCCACTAAGTGGGATTCTCACACCCATTTCAGAGATGAGGGGTCTAAGCCCTCTGTCTCCTCCGTGACAAAGGCACACGGCCCCTGCCTCACGGGAGAGCCACAGGCTGGTTCGTGGTGTCCTGCGGGGAGAAGTGCAGAAATCGGCCTCCCCCTTCTGCGGCAGGGTGCACGCACACCGGCGCTGCCTGTCTGTCCTGGCGTCCGGAACCCTGCCCACAGTGCCGTGGGTGCGTCGGACGTGTTTGCTGAAGGGGTACCGGTCCACAGCTACACGGAGTACTCATTCGGCACACGCAGATGGGGCGCCTACTGTGTGCTGGGCCAGCTCTAGGCCCGGAGGCTACAGTGAACACAGTTTGAGGGAAGGGTGGGGTCGAAGTCTTCTTGGTGTCACAGTGCCTGGGACAGGCCTGGCTCAGAGGAGGTGGCCGCAGAGTGTCCTGAAGGAGCAGGGATGAGTGTCGAGAAGTGGCTGCTCTCTTCGGTCCCAGTTTGCACATTCTAGCTGATTTGAAAAGGCCGGTTCCCGTCACGTGAATGCCGTCTCCCTTGGTTTGCCCCCCCGGCTGGGAGCATTGGCTGCTCCCAGTGGGAGATGGGTGCTGCCCAGGCTGGGTGGTGGCAGTGTCTCCCCAGGCTCCCAGACACACTGCTGCCCTACTCCACACACTGCCACTCCCCTGCTCCCTGCCTCAGTTTCCTCACCAGCAAAATGGAGATGATGACTCACATTTTCTGAAATGACCTAGCTGGTGCACGAAGCATCCAGCAAATCATCATAAATATGAAATGGTAGTCAATGCTCTCAAGAAAAAGAAATAAACATTTAAACACGCTGGCCTCTAAATGACTGTCAAATTGCACAAATAAAATTGGAGAAAGCCAATTAGCTTTAACGTAGGATAACTGGAGGATGGCGCCCCGCCCCCACCGCCAGCCTCAGGCAAGTCCGTGCGAGTTTCTTCTGATGGGAAGGCTGCAGCCGTTATCCCAGGAGGGGCCCAGCATTTTCGGCGGAGCCAGCGGTCCATGGGGCTCCCGTTCATTTCCCTCCCAGCATCTGAGATCTCCCCGTGTGTCACACGCACGTGTGTCTCCCCGTGTGTCAGGTCCTTCCACTGCCAGCCTCTCTGCCCAGAAGGCGCCGTGCACAGCCCGAGACTCACGGTGTGTGAACTCTGAGCAGGCACCAGCATCCTCCCACCCCTCTCCAGAAAAGGAAACTGAGGCCAGAGGTGTGACATCCCAGTGGGGCTGGGGTCAGGCCTCAGGTCTGCACCTCTCCACCAGGGGACCCTCTGGGGCTGTCATAACCAGGTCCCGGGCCTGACTCTCATTCCCTGACCCGTGACTTAGACAAGTCGGGTTCACCTTGGCAACCGGTCTTCTCACCGGTGATGGGGGGGTGGCCGTGCCAGCTCCTCGTGATTGAGGGGCACGGCACACGCAGCAGCGTCGGCGGAGAGCCCTGCTTGTGGTGTGGGCGGTGGGCCACCCCTCCCCACCAGGGCAGCTGCACTTCCAGGGCGCTGTTGCCCCCGGATCTTGCAGGAGGGGTCACGGGTCACTAGCTGTCTGGAGGGGGTGAGCATTAGGTGGAGGGTATGGCGGGAGGCAAAGGTGACCTCGCTGACGCTGTCTCAGCCCTCCTCACACCTGCCCTCCGAGCAAGTGAGGCTTCCACTGGGGCCCTAACAAATGACCCCAGCACTGCAGGGCAGGGCTTGTGAGAACGTCCTTCCCTTTCCTAGAACAGTGCAGTGTGGGTGTCCCTGTTGGGCACACACAGGCCCCTTCCATTCCATGTGCCTCCACCCCTAGAGCTTCCTTTGGTGGAAGGGGAGACAGGGTAGAAGTGGCGCACTCGCTTTTTAACCACCTGAGCCCCTAGTGCCAGGCATCACTGCACTCACATCCCGTTGGTCAGGGCCAGTCATGTGTCCACAACTGGCTGCAAGGGCAGCTGGGAAATGTAGTCCTCTTCTGGACAGCCCCTTGTCACTTCCTGATAGAAGGCTCGCCAAGGTTTGGTGGAGAATCAGCGGACTCTGCCATGGGATGTTCTCATTCCGTTTTAAAGATACGGAGATTGGGGTGCAGAGGGGTTCAGTCACTTATTCAAAGTCTCATGGTGGGCTCAGAACCAATCCCAGGAGGCCAAGCAAAGGAGGTGGGCTTTGCTGCAGGGCTGGCGGTGGCAGACATTGGCCACATGGCGCTGCCGATTTCCCACAGGTGCGGGACGCATGCCCCCACCACACGGCCCTGCTCTCACGTCCCTGCCTCCCTGTAGGTGCCCGTGCTGAAGCCCATGGACCTGATGGTGGAGGTGAGCCCGCGGAGGGTCTTCGCCAACGGCCACACCTACCACATCAACTCCATCTCCGTCAACAGTGACTGCGAGACCTACATGTCTGCGGACGACCTGCGCATCAACCTCTGGCACCTGGCCATCACCGACAGGAGCTTCAGTATCCTTCCCGCTGCTGCCCGCCCTCGCCCCCACGGTGGCTTCTGTGGGGACAGCTGGCTGGCTGGGGAGAGAGCGGGCGTGGGGGCCTCTGCTTCGCTCAGCTTCGTCCGTGAGTCCACAGTGCGTGACTGAAGCCCAGATGTGAGACCGTGTAGAGCTCATTTACATACGCTATGAAACCGAGGCTGTGAAGGTCACATTGACCCCTCGCCACCTGCAGGGTGGCTGGGATCCTGTCACCCTGGGACATCACCAGGGACATAGGGGGAGGTAAGGGTCCTGAAGTCAGCTCTCTGGGGTGAGGGGGCGGAGGGATGGCCGACCCACCTGAGACCATCGGCCGAGGCTCTTTTGGACCCCCTTCTCTGGGGCCCTACTGAGGGCTTAGAGAGACAGCTGGGGTGTGAGAAGCCCAGCCACGTGGAGTCAGGGGGGCCCTGCTTGGTGGCCCCCCTGTGTTTGGACAAGGGAGGGGCCATAGGATTGAGTCCAGCCCCCACCAACTGGTGAGGAAGGAACCGGTGGTGCATGATCGTGGGCCTGGGCAGGGTCAAGGCCCGGCCCAGCAGGGGCTGCAGGGGACAGAGCAGGCAGGCTGCTCCGCTGTCACCGTGCTAAAGACTGACGGCCACCGTAATAGTAACAATCACAGTGAGGCTCTTGTCCGATGTCAACGTGTGTTAATACCACTCATTTCACCCTCACACGTCCTGTGACGCAGATGCCTCCCTGGTCCTCCTCTTCATATGGAGGAACCGAGTCTCAGGGAGTCCAGACTGTCATGCTTGGGGCTCACTCCTGGCCAGTGTCACACCCCGGCCCCCAAGTCTGCATTCCCACTGTGACACCAGACTGCTCTTTGGAAGGACGCCGCCCAGGGATGTGTGAGGGGGGCCCTGTTCCTGAGGCTGGAATCAGATAGAGGACCCAGCCCTCCCAGAGTGGACAGGTCAGAAACCGTTAACACGAGGACATGTAGAAGGTCTGGCCTCCCAGCGGGGGGTCAGGGCTGCGAGCTGGTCCCTGGGTGGGCGTGTTGGCGAGCATGTTTCCCCGGCCGGGCGGCTGAGGCTGCAGGGAGGGAGCCGGGGGGCGGCTTTGCCAAGTGAAGGAGTGGACACGGGGCTGGTGGTGTATGTGCGGCAGCGGGAACAGCGGTTGACCCTGAGATCTAAGCCAGGCGGGGAGGTGAGGCCCAGTGACAGGAAGGCAGCATCCGTGGATTGGGGGTCCCCGTGGGAACCCGGGGGCTCTCCTGGCTGCAGGTCCTGCCTGTGTGGAGCCTCCAGTTTTGTGAAAATGAATCGGTAGTTGATCGAGTACAAAAGCGTCCTGGCCCTCAGAGGCGGCGGAGTGGGGGGTCCCAGCGGCCCTCGCCTGTGGAGCCCCAGTGCCCACTGGGCAGATGGGAGGAGTGGGCAGAGACTGTAGGGTTGGGGTGGCTTGCAGACCCCCGTGGTTAGATGGGTCCTTCAGGGAATCAGGATGCACGTGCCCTCCATGCGGCCTGCTGCTGCTGAGCCACCAGAGTGACGGGACCCAGGGACACTGTCAGGACTGCGGGTGGCGGGTGTGACGATGGGTTGGATAGCAGCCCAGCAAGATAAGGCGTCTCCATTTCCAGTGCGGGAGGAGGCGAGGGAGCCCTGGCTGACGCTGAGCTACAGCTTTGCGCCGAACTTGAGACGCCCTTTGAGCAGGTACCTGCCCAGGAGCTCAGGACGCTGGCTCTCTGGTGTCCTGACTTGTTCTAATGCTGTTGCTGCTATTCAGGGAGTTTGCAGCTGCATTACCATGTCCTTGTGTGCAAACAGTAACACTTTCTAGTTAAGCAGAATTGCTTTTTAGCAGAGGTTTTAAAGAGAAAAGGAAGCTTTTCAATAAGAATGAAGAGTGGGCCTTGTTTTGGCCATTAATCGCAGAACTGGCTGCTCTGAATTGAGGGAGGGGCCGGGGGTGCCCCAGCCTCTCCTGTGCAGAGCCTCCCTCCGTCTGCCACCAAGCCTTAACACGAGGGCCTCCAGCTGCCCTCGCCCTTGCCCTCCGGGTGGGAAGAGGTGCCAGGCCCTTGCATTCTCCCCCCGTGGCTCTGGCATCAGGTCCTCCCCTCCACCCCGTCAGAGGCTCAGCTCAGCCACATTGGTCCTGCCTGGCCCGTCGTTGCCTGAATCCCACCTTGTCCAGCACACCCGCCCCCACAGAGCCATGAGAGTGGCTCATCGGACACTTTGGTCTGACCACAGCACACCCCACCAGCCCCTGGACAAAGTCCAACTCCCTCGACAGTGTCCTGTGGTCTTTGGTGACCGGCCCTGCCCTCACCCCTGGGGTCCCGTGCATCAGGCCTGCTCACACCTCAGGCCTCTGAGTTTCCCTTTGTTGAGGGAGGGGGCCGTGCTCTGCCTCCTGCTGCCCCGTCTCTGATCATCCTTCTCCTCTTGTACCTGAATGGCTCCTGTTGGCCCCCTTCGCTCGGCCACCTGTGTGGTGTCCACACTGCGCCCCTCCCAGGCTGGTCAGAGCCCCCCTGGGCCCACACTCCCTGTGGCACTGGGCCTTCCTCATCTGCTAATGTGACCACCTCCCCCATGTTCTGGCGAAATGCTCGAGGTCAGGAGCCCAGTCCGCGCCCACATGTGATGCAGGGCCCGGCACATAGTAGGTGCTCACGAATGGTTGGAAGTGGTGACTCAGGAGCAGGAGGCTCACAGTTTCCATCTGGTCTTGGGACACAGACACCTCCCTGTAAAGGTGGGCTCCAGGGTGCTCAGGTCCCAGACACTGCAGAGAAGCATCTGGGTGCTGGGTCCGGGATCCGGGCTCAGATTCGCTGCTTCTCGGACGGACGCAACCTGGACCAGGGAGGGCCTGCGTAAGGGGCAGGAGAAGTGGTTCCCTAAGGGCTGGCAGGATCGGCCCCCGGCGGGTGGCTGGCACTATTTTCCCCCTTAAACAACAGCCCCCTGTGTACTTAAGGCTGGTTCTCGGAATTCCTGCCTCTTCTCTGATTGTTTTTTTGCTCCCATGCCATCTTCACACCTCTTTAAAAAATCCTCACGTCCTCGAATGCTGATATTTTGAGACCATCAGGCAGCGCCGGGCGACTTCTCTCGTGTTCAGTGCCTCTTGAACAGAATGGGCGCTGCACAGGCGGCCTCGGTGGAGGGACCTCTGCTTTATTTTTAGCACCGGAGAGTCGTGAAGATGGTTCCATTGATTTTTCTCATCCCCGAGCAAGTTCTCATGGTGGAACTTGGCATTCCACCAGCCCTTGGGCTGGAACAAATGTCTGGTTCCCATCCCCAGAGCGGCCCTGGGACATGAGGGGGGGTGAGGCAGCAGTCTGGGGCCCGGAACCTCGTCAGCGCACAGCAGCTCGAGGCCTGGGCTGGTCCCTTAGGCAGGGGACAATGGAGGGGGCAGCCCAAGGCCCCTCCACCTGCCAGGTTCTCTGCTGCCTGAGAAGCCAAAAGCAGGTTGGCTGGCTTCTGTCGCTCACAGGGGTCCCTGCCAGTTGCTCCGCCTTTCTAAGCCTCCCCGTTCTGGTCCGTCCATGGGGCCGCCCCTCTGGCGCCAGGGCTGGGTGGGTGGGAAGGCACAGACCCGAGGCCACTGTTAGCCCCGCACAGGCTATGTGTCTTTTCATGCTGCCCCAGAGCAGGACACGGGGGTGCATCTGCTGAGGAGGACCCAAGTCTGAATCCCCCAAACCAGTTTTCCAGTCGGAAAACCTGTGGTCAAACCGTGACCAGCACTGGGCGGCTTGGGGCCTGAGCAAGGCCGGGTGGGCCAGCTTTCCCTGTGGCCGGTGGGGCTCCGGGCGCTGTCCGTGGTGCTGCTGCGTTGGCGGCCCCCACCGTCTAAGCACCTGGCGCACGTTAACCCAGTTCATCCTCTCAGGCACCCTGTGGAGTTGGCATCGCGAACATGCCCCCTCCGTAGGAGGAAACTAAGCCACAGAGAGGGTAGGCGACCTACCCGGAGCCGCCCAGCAGGATGTGGCAGAACCTGGGAGCAGACCCCAGGCCTCCCGTGGAGGTGGTGCCGCCGTCCCCTTTTCCCCTGAGCTCTGAGGGGCCGGGCACCCGCCACGCCCCACCTCGTCACGGACACGCAGGCTGCCCGTCCAGCCCCGTCCATGGCATAATGTTTCGGGGCTCGTGTTTCAGAGACCGAGGGAAAGCAGGGGCTCTCCACACCATCATGGCACAGGCTGGGGACCGGGTGTCACACAGGCAGCCGGACCCGTGACCCGTGACCTCCGGCAGGTGTGTGTCTCCGTGTCCTCTAACGTGGGGACGCACCGCTCTGTGGTGCTTCTGATCCTTCCCCACAGGCCTCCGTGGCATTGCCGTGACACGCTCCTGGTGAAAACCCCGTGGACCCCCAACCACGGCCTTGCTCCCTTCCGCTGCCTCCCTCTCAGGGCTCCGGCCTCTTGCACCTCCTCAGCCTTACGTGTCCCCCCACCCTGGCCCTCTGCCCAGATCACTCCTGCTCCTGTCAGGCCTTTGCCTTGGAGGACCCTCCCTGACTCTCCAGCCCGCCACGGGGCCTCCTTACAGACCCCGTCACGTGCACCCGGGATGACCCTCCCGCAGCACCAACCGTGCGGCCGGTATCTGGCGGTGCTCCTGGGCGAGGAGCCCCGGAGATCGGGGTGGCGCCCAGTTTGCCTTTCTTGGAGCCAGGAGAAGGCAGCCATGTGGGAGGTGTCCCTGCTCTGTCCTTCCGCCGGGGCTTCCCTCTGAGCTCGCAGAAACCCAGGCACGCCACTCAGCCGAACCCACACAGGGGCGGGCCCTGCGGCTTCTGTGACCTGCTTACGTTCCTGTTTATTCAGAGGAAGAGAAAGGGTCCGATTCTGACTTAATTAACTGTTGCTAAAAGTACTAACCCCGTGCCAGGGCCTTTGATGTAGGCCATCGCATTCAGTCCGTACAGCAGCCCCACAAAGCACACATGACCCACCCATTCTGCAGATGGGAAGCCCGAGGC